ATAGTCATTGTCTTTATGAAATTATATAATTTCCTCACAGACATTTATAACAAAATTTACCCAGTAGATAGTATTATAAGAAATAGATAAGTAAAAGATTATATAATGGCATAAGCACAAAAGAAATATCAAATAACTATTATTTTCATAATATTTCATATAATATAAAAATCTTGTACTTAAGCGCGAGGTCAAGAGTCTAAACATGACAAGGCAATATCCTCAATCAACAACAAAAAAAATGTGTTGGATGAAAAAATTACATAAGAAAGTGAAATGGTTAGAACCGAAGCGCACGGCGCCACATAATATGATTAATAGTTCTATTAACAGGTGAAAGCGAGCTATCAGTAAATATACTGTCAAAAAGCCATGAAAGTAATTGGATCTTAAAATTTTTTCGGAACTATATACGAAAGGAAAAATCTAAAATACCGTAGTTGTCATGGCTTCCTTTGGTTGCGGTGTTCCATGCTGGACCTTGACCTGATTGAATGAACTCTACATAGAACATATATATATACATATACAACATACGTTTAAATCATAAACGTATGTTTACTTTATGTATTCAAGTTTTTGTTGGAGATATGATATTACGTGCTAACAAAGTCGTTGTGTTTATATTATTAAAATAACTCTCGTTTTCAATCAATGCAGATTTTGATTGTATGGATAATTTCAAAACACAGCTCGAACAAAAATCTCAAATTAAAAAAAAAACACATACATACATAAACTGAAGAAGGAAGTACATCTAGACCCGGAAAAATTATTTATAGGACATACAATCACTTGTTCCGTGGGGGAATCTAACCCGCTTCTCGCAGTAACCAAATGTTTAGCGAACAAAAGCTTCCCCAATTATTACCTCATACAACCTTAGTTGCAATGCTTGGCAGATGGGTTGGCAACCGCCGTTTTTAATTGTGCTGGGTTATGAAGATACTGATGCTTCCCATCTCCTGTTTCATTTACCTCTTCCTCTGTGTTTTACGACACCCACGGGTAGATATGGGGTTGTGGATATTCTTACTCCGCCATAACTTAAACCAAAGCCATTACTTAATTAGGCTATAAATATAAAGATACGTGACTGAATAGATTGAAAAGCAATTCTCATTATCAAATATGGCAGATGAAAGAGAAAATATAGTAGAGTTTATTACTCCAAATGCAATAAATTTTGATAGTAAACTGCTAAATAATTCGTTATCTTGCGTAAGTTGCCAATCCGCCTGCCAATCGTGGCAATAATGGCAATTATCGTCTCTATGAGACAATCTATAGAGAGAGCCTATGTCCAACAGTGGATTTGATAGGTGTATTGAATGAAAAAAATAATTCAATACACCTATTATATTATAAATTTGACCAATATTGAAATGTGGGCGAGACTTCCAGTGGCGTGTCAAAACATGAATAGAATCTTGATTGCCTCAATGCTACTTATTTACAATATATTTGTAATGCCACGTTCAGTCCGCGGTGTATCACGGTCGCCTTACCTTGCCATGCCTTAACTTTATCAAAGCGTTAACCTTTTTTATATAAGACAGTCCAGTTTGCACATATTAAATCTTGCCTCTTCACATTATGATTGTGGTATTCATCCAAATCAATACAATTTTGATTTGTTGTGTTACTTCGATGAAGGTCAGTTTTGACAACTTAAAGATTAGACATGTGTTACCTAAAGATTTTACGAGTATTTATTAAATAAGGACTACACCTATTCATTTAAAAATGAAATGTTATACTCAAATAAATCAAAATATTGCAATAATTGATTCAAAAAGCATACCTAATACTAATCGGATATCCTTAAAGGAAATAAAAGTGACATTTACTGTTCCGTACTCATAAAAGGGTAGGGTGCATCTACTGTTCTCTTAAAATACTTCTTTAATAGTCTTCCTACTTGCTTTACTACTTAGATGAATGATCAAATTCGTGGTTGAAATTTCTACAATAATCTATCATTAGCTCAGAGGATTTTCGAGAATCACAAAATCAAATTTAGCAATAAGATTGAAAGTGAAATACCGGTTTCAATGTTAGCTGTGCTTATGCTTACTTGAATTGTGAGCTTTCCCATTGACCCATTGTTGTGACCTTCATCATCGTGTACATTAGTAAAATAATACAAGTTTCAATTTAAACCTGCGTTCTCAACTGTTTATGTTAAGTTCTCTAACGGGGATATTATATTATAAAAGTATACGATTTCACTTATCGTATTCGAATAGTTTTGGTGATTCAAACTTTTAGCTTTTAACTGTATATTTAAATGCCCCTTCACTTTCTTAGATTTATTTTCTATTTATTTATTTTCCTTTACTTTTTTTTTTTTTATAGGATAAGGGTGACAAACGAGCACACAGTCCACTTGATGGTAAGTGGTTGCTGTGGCCCATAGACATCTACATCTATCTTCGATTAAGAATCAAAATGCAGATGCGTTGTCACCCCTGAGGACTAAGATGGAATGCCTTGTTTCCAGTAAAAAGGGTCTCCGGTTCTCTACACTCACCATACGAAACACAGCAGCGTTAAGCTGCTATTTTACGCTGGTATTCTGTGATAGCGTGGTCCGTCCCCGGTCGAGCCGACCCATTCGTGCTACAACCATAATATAGCTGCAGCATGGCTCTACCACGTAAATATCAAATTTATATCAAATAATTTGATAGTCATTTGATTCATTGTTAATTTAATTTTATTAGTTTTTACAAAGTTGTTGCTACACGAGTAAGGTTGACAAACAAAAAAAACCGTATAGTATGTAGATGCCTTGGCCTTCTACATCTATCCGCGATTGAGTATCAAAATGCAGATAGGTTATCACCCCTGCGACTTTACCTATAAAGAGGGGTCATTTCTTCTCGTTACTTGCCGTACAAAAAACAGTAGAATTATGCTGCAAATTTGCGTTGGTATTGTGAGAGTGAAAGGTCTCGGTCTACTCATTCGTGCTGTACCTGTAATATTATCGCTATGTATATAGCTATACATTATCGCTATGCAACGTATAACGTGGAAATTGGGATACGAATTTATAAAATTCAATTTTAATTACCACAAAATGAGATTTAAAAAAAAATATTTGACTAATACACTCAATAGGTATCGATATAATAGTTTTTAATGTACGAGAAACAAATTATTGTAATATAAATATTTTGCAATTAACCACTGATTGGTCTAAATTATTTATTTAATGCAACGACCAAATCCGAGACACGTGCCTGCCGCATTATAATTTCGTAAGTCCCATTATGCGTTTGTAATTATGAACGGTTCACTTATTTGATCGTATCTCTATTCATTGCTCGTATTGGTAACGTATACTTTCTTTTGTAGCCCAATTTTGTTGTACTGCTGATTTTCGTCACAATACTGTTAGACCAATCTTAAGCAAAGATCTTTCGAGGCTGAGTAGTAAGGTTCTGCTCTTTATGGTAAATTAATTGGGCATACGGCTCTCATATTGATTGAATTTTTTTTTATTAACTGTCAAAATGAAACTTTTCTTCAGAAATTGTGGTAGAATTAAAGGACGGCATTGTAATGTACTTGTTATTAAAGAAACGCTAGAAATAATAAACATTTAAGTAAGCGCAAAACCACCGAAGTTTTGGGACACTACAAAATTATGTGCTCGTATATAGTAATTAAATTAGTTTATTAATTTGAAGTTTTGTTACCATAAAACCGCGCCGGAATTTTCACATTTACGTTGGCTTTCTAGAAATCTCTTTTTATTTATTATATGATCAGTATAATGTCAGTATTAATAGTTAACACCTGCAGTTACTTTAGAGAAATACCGTACACTTTGTTATTTGTAGAGTGGCCACGCAAAATTTAAAATTTAATAGATTAAAACTATCAGAGGCGTACAGTAAAGGTGCAAATTTTAATTTTGGATAAGTTTATGTTCGTCTGTGTACTTTAAATTTGACTGGCCATCTTAATGATTCTTATAAAACACTGATGATTATTTAAAAGGTACATACTTCAAATGGCTTTGAAAGGCCAATGTAACCGTTTCTATTGGATAAAATGCTGTACCTGTACGTTCGCTATTAGTCAAACATTTTTTATGGAAAGTTACGTTGTTAGAGATAACATAATCTTAGTCTAACGAGTCGTAAACGACATACACAGTCGTAGAATGGTAAAAACACAATATTATATTCATATCTTTAACAGTCTGTTGCAAATATTGACGATTGCAAATATATTTGAAATAACGTTTTAGTAGCAGTCATACGTTGTCACCCAGCTCTAACATTATTCATCAGCATACGTGGTAGAGCCATACTGCAGCTATATTTTATATTTTATTAGTATAGTTGCAGCACGAATGCACGTAAAATAACAACTTAACACTGCTGTATTTCGTATGGTGAGTGTCGAGAACCGGAGACCCTTTTTTACTGGAAACGAGGCATTCCATCTTAGTCCTCAGGGATGACAACGCACCTGCATTTTGATTCTTAATCGAGGATACATGTAGATGTCTATGGGCCACAGCGTCCACTTACCATCAGGTGGACTATGTGCTCGTTTGTGACACTTATTCTAAAAAAAAACTTATCCGTGGGACGTTATTGGCTGTTACTTTACTTTTTTATTATTTTATCTTGTATAAGTATAAAGAAGTAGTATGTCGGTTTTCAAAATTATTAAACTCAGTAATAACTTAGATTTAAATGGCAGGCGTAATGTAAGGTACTTATTTCATATACATATATGTATCGATACATAAATTGATAGCAAAATCGCGTCATTTTTAGCATTTAAATAAAGTAAATATGTTTTTTTTTCTCCGAATTAAAACCGAAATAGGTTTTCCTCAAGAAAAAATAACAATATTTCTATTATGTGTGAAAATTATTTTTTGTAGTGTTTTATGACAATGTTCCATTATCAGAAGTGATTATGACGATATATAAAATGTGACACTTGGAAAATCAAAGATTCAAAATATCAAAATGTGCAGCAAGGACCAGATCACTCACATCCTCGGGAAGATCAATGTGGTAAGTTATGGATGACTTGGTTTTCTAAATAATATTTTTTTATTATAAGTTCATAAAGTTTTCACTTTTTCTGTTATAAATATAATCCATGACAAAGCGTGAACACCAGAAGCTATAGAAGTTTAGAAATAGCATTTACGATGATTGAAGTATGTAATGAAACTTCAATGTATGTAAGTATGACATAGGCAAGTGAAACTGATGTCATGATGAATCATTGATGGAAAAAGAAACATCTTCGCAATTCGCAATTGTCAAATTACCGACACGTATCTGGTTTATAATATACGGAAATAATTTTTTTTAATTCATTTTATGAATTCTGTACTTACATTGAATTCAATGGACAGTATACGTTGAATATAACGTTAACCAGACACACAGATAATATAACTGCAATAGTCAAATTGTACTGTACTGGAAATAACTGTACCGTAGAATTCGACTATACCGAAGAAGATGGCTCAGGATCATGCTTTGTGGCATTCCTTGTTCTATTCCTTGGTCTATGTTCAACAGTGGACTTGAGAAAGGCTGTAATGGCGATGATGAAAAAGAAAATTATTTTTCTTGAAAGATCACAATGTCCTGCTCCCATCATTAAATAATTATTATAATTATTAAAATAAAACCGATGTTTTAGCTTTTAAAAATGCAGATGTCAAAAAACGGATATACCTAAGAAATGAAATGCAGTTAATTTGTAAACAATCTAAGTGTAACATTGACCTGTTTTTAATGTTTACAATGTAATTGGTTCTTATTCATTAAATTATGAATAGTGATTAGAAATTAATTGAGAGATAGACTTGATATGGAAATTTGCGAAATATTTTTCAAAACAATCTGTGTTATAAAAATTAGTATGTTTGAAGTAAGGGATTTTAAATAAATTCTGCACCGAAAGTTAATTTAGTACAAATTTGATGCTTAAAATTAAAATTTATGTAAATTTATTTAATTATTATACACGTAGCTTTCGAATATGTATGCTTGCGTCGTTCAATGTGCGGTTTCAACGCATATTTTTGGACTGGCGTTTTCATTGTCAAGGTTGTTTGAATATGGAGATGGTCCATTCAAATAATCGTCAATGCTTCGAATCGGCGAAAGTTAGTAAAACTTGCCTTCACGCGACAATTAAAACGCCAAGGTTAATTTGGTCTGTTGAATAAAATTTGTTATTTTATTATTGTAAACTTGCATAGTTTGTTTTTTTACTTTCGCAAATATATATAATTACATTTACATTAATGGTCTTACTTCTAATCGTTGGTTATCGCTTAGTTAAATTAAACGTTAATTAACTCTATATCTGTCGCTTTCTATTATCATTTATTAAAGAGAAAGAGCAAGTAGTAAGCCCTTAATGTTTAATAGACTTTATTCCTTCTTTATATTCGTACTCCACTGTAAAAGAATGGACGAAACAATTTAGTTTGTGAAGAGAATAAATTGATGATGTTCCGCGCTCAGGATGACCACCCGAGGCCATTACGGATGAAAACTAAATTTGTGGAGAAGACAGTACGGGAAGATAGGCGGCTAAAATAATTAGCAGTCGTGAGTTGTGACGGAACATTCAAAAACAACTGTGCTTGGAATCCTACACAAACATTTGGGTATCAATAATGTCAGTGCTAGGTGGGTCGCAAAACTTCTTTCAGCTATTTCAAAACAAGAACGAGTGAAGTTCTGTACTCAGTTTTTATCCCATTGAGAAGGCCGACAGAAATAAGTTTTGGATTCAATTGTTACGGATGATATAATTATCCTTCTTTATCATGAACCTCTGTCAAAAAAGGAATCGATGAAGTGGCGTCGTCTGAGCTCAATGCGGCCAAAAAGGTGACTTACCTTATGCTAAACCATTTTGGAAACTTCGAATATCACAAGTTCACTGCTGAACATAGGCCTTCCCCAAGGCCTGCATCTATTGACTTCCTGCATGTCTTACCAGGTCATCACTCCATCTAGTGGGGGGATGCCCTACACTTCGCCTGAAGATACGAGGCTGCCACTCGAGGACCTTTCTTCCCCAACGGTTGTCGGTTCTTCGAGCTATATGGCCGGTCCTTTTCCAATTCAGCTTACTAATCCGTTGGGCGATGTCGGTCACTCTGGTTCTACTGCGGATATCCACGTTTTTAAATCTATCACGCAGAGAAATCCCGAATATATCCCTCTCCATAGTTCGATGAGTGACCTTGAGCTTCCTCATACGGCCAGCAGTGAAGGACCACGTCTCAGATCCATAAGTCATCACTGGCAACACGCACTGGTTGAACAATCTATTTTTGAGATTTTGAGGTATACCTGACGAGAAGATGTGTCGTAATCTCCCGAACGCTGCCCAGCCGAGTTGAATCCGTCGATTGACCTCTTGGTCGAAGTTGGACTTACCTAGTCAGACTATTTGTCCTAGGTAAACATACTCATCAACAACTTCGAGCTTAGTGTCCCCAACAACTACCGGCATAGGTGTGACACGGACGTTACAAATGACTTTTGTTTTGTCCATGTTCATCTTAAGACCTGTCCGCTGGAAGACACTATTGAGGTCATTGAGCATAGTGTCCTCCAGCGATTCTGCCATAAGGACATATCGTCGGCAAATCGAAGGTTAGTTATGTACTCGCCATTGATGTTAATACCGCAACCTTTCCAGTCCAGTAGCTTGAAAACGTCTTCCATTGCAGCGGTGAAGTTTCAGGGATATAACATCACCCTGACTTACACCTCTCTGCAGTTGGATAGGTTTCGTACTCTGGTTCTGTACTCGGAAAGCCATCGTAGCCCTACTGTTAAACACTTCAGCACTTCGATATACCGACAGTCAACTTGGCACCGCTGAAGGTACTGCAGCACCGTGCAAATTTCGACGGTATCAAAGGCTTTCTCATAGTCCACTTACGCAAGACAAAGTGGCAAATTTTTGGCTCATTATCAAGTAAATACGGAACTCGGAATTCTTTCACGAAAAGTGGTGCAATAGAGAAATCGTGCTCTTATTTTCCTCAGAATTTTACGTGATGAGGGTAGAGAAAAAAAATCTCTAAAGTGACTTATTTATATAGAATGTATATTGTAAAAACTTGAAGACATTTTGGAACGTACAGTAAACTACAAAATAAGTTTGTCATTATTATTTATATAATTTTTAAGCAAATGTGCACAGAAGAATAATAAGCACAAAATGAGTGTCTACAAGGCTAAGTCAAAATAGGTCAATCTTCATCAGGTAGGATATTATTCAAGCACTGGCTTATACGGTATATGGTATCAGGCGATAGAGGTAAATGAAACACCACCTGGCCAAAAACATCTTGATAACAAGTGAAAATCATAAAAAACTGCAGTTGCCAACCTGCCTGCCAAGCGTGACAACTATATGTCAAGTTGTATCATAGGGGGCATATCATAGCAAATATATCGGCTATGATGAGGCAATCTATGGGGAAGCCAATATTCAGCATTGGAATTTTGATAGGTTGTAATCATGATGATTATAATACCTATTTAGAAAAAATTATATATCATAAAAATTGTCACTAATTAAATAATAATTAATCTTAAATATGTTTTTCTTAATAATGTGGTGAAATCCCGAAAAAAGTTTAACCCGTCGTGATTTCGTAACTGTGGTTCTGTACCTTAACATTGGGTAAGTGTTAGCGTTTGAAACTAGTTAAAATCTTGGATCATCGAAGGCGCGGTTATTGAAACGTGTGAAGACTAATTAAGTAATATAATATATTGGACCAAGTCATTCAACAGTTTACCGTTTTATTATAATCGAAATTATATAGTTCAGGTTGACTGTTTTACGTTTGGTGTTGTGAACTGGGTGCCAATGAAATGTTTGTGAAGTGATTGCATCATTGAATTAAATTGAAGTGACTGGAAAGCGATTTTAATATTAACAACTCGTTATCACGGGACGAAAATACTTTTTTTTATTACACGATTTGAACTGTGCTTGCACAGGTAATAAGCCTCGATCCTTGCCATCGTCATTGAAATTTGAATTTCCATTAATATCTACCTCTAATTGGAGTTTAACCAAAATAAAAAATTATACGTATCAGCTCCAACGCGTTACTGGTGTTTACTCCTGAAAAACTATTGTCTTGAAATATATACAATAGGTTAAGGAAGTAAATGCGTGGGTGCATTTACTTCCTTAGCCTATTGTATATATTTACTTATATTAATATTGATTTGATAAAATATATTACATAAAAATACTCGTATATCACTTATATTACATTAACGTTTATACTCCGTCTGCGGCACGAGCATATTGCGCAGAATAAACCATAAAGGGTTCATTTTTTGCTTAAAATAAATGGGTGGAACTCATCTAATTCTTAAAGAGTCATCATCATCATTACAGCCCTTCACAAGGCCACTGTTGAACATAGGCCTCCCCCAAGGAATGCCACAAAAACGGTCCTGAGTTACTTGCATCCATCGACTTCCTGCATGTCTTACCAGCTCGTCACTCCATCTAGTGCTGAAGAATGGCTGACGAAATGGCAAAAGAAACTCCGCAAGTATGCAAGTAATTTATTTTGTGTTAATACCTAACTGCGTATTTTAAAAAGGAGGAGGTTCTCAGTTCGACTATATGTTTTTTTTGTAAGTATGTTACGCAATATCTTCGCCAATTATTAACCTATTTTGATGATTCTTTTTTATTAAATAGGTTATACATCAAGGATGGTATCATATATTAGGTGATTTGGAAAAAAAATTTCGCCCTTAAGGGGGGCAAAATAGGGGTGAAATTTCTGATGGAACTATTTAGTCGACACTGAGATTGTGATGATATTCGTTAGTTCACTCAAAAGGATTAAAAAGATTAACTTTCAATAAAAAGTAAAAGTCGAAAAAGCAATCGACTTGGGGCTGTAATTTATACATTTATTACATTATGTCCTAGCACCGACTTCAGAATGTGAAATTCTTTTATACTAGCTGTTCCTCGCGACTTCGTC